TCTCCATTTGTTTGATAGAAGGAATAATTTTGAGGTAAAAATATCTTTAAAAAATCGTTTCCTTCCCAATTGTCTACATCGTCGTCTACAATTCTATATCTTAGTTCAAGTAATGGTTCAGGAGGGGGTCTGACAAGTAATGGTTCAGGAGGGGGTCTAACAAGTAATGGTTCAGGAGGGGGTCTGACAAGTAATGGTTCAGGAGGGGGTCTGACAAGTAATGGTTCAGAAGGGGGTCTGACAAGTAATGGTTCAGGAGGGGGTCTGACAAGTAATGGTTCAGGAGGGGGTCTGACAAGTAATGGTTCAGGAGGGGGTCTGACAAGCAATGGTTCAGGAGGGGATCTGACAAGTAATGGTTCAGGAGGGGGTCTGACAAGTATTGGTTCAGGAGGGGGTCTGACAAGTAATGGTTCAGGAGGTGTCTGACAAGTAATGGTTCAGGAGGGTGTCTGACAAGTAATGCTTCAGGAGGGTGTCTGACAAGTAATGGTTCAGGAGGGGGTCTGACAAGTAATGGTTCAGGAGGGGGTCTGACAAGTAATGCTTCAGGATGGAGTATGACAAGTAATGGTTCAGGAGGGGGTCTGACAAGTAATGCTTCAGGATGGAGTATGACAAGTAATGGTTCAGGAGGGGGTCTGACAAGTAATGCTACAGGATGGAGTATGACAAGTAATGGTTCAGGAGGGGGTCTAACAAGTAATGCTTCAGGATGGAGTATGACAAGTAATGGTTCAGGAGGGGTCTGACAAGTAATGCTACAGGATGGAGTATGACAAGTAATGGTTCAGGAGGGGGTCTAACAAGTAATGCTTCAGGATGGAGTATGACAAGTAATGGTTCAGGAGGGGGTCTGACAAGTAATGCTTCAGGATGGAGTATGACAAGTAATGGTTCAGGAGGTGTCTGACAATGGTAATAACTGTACAAATTAAAATTTTCAAAAAAAGCAGTAACGTCCTGCAGTAGAAGAGGAAGGCGGGAAACTATCAGACGAGCAGTAGCCTAGACCTTGTGCTCAAAAGAAAAGAAAGTTGAGCCAAAAATAGCTTTATTAATGCAGCGATTTAAACCGAATCAGCTCAGCAATGTGAAATTCATGGCTAAGAACATTCCCAAAAATTGACAGCCTTGGCAGTCAGCACTTCTTCAGAATCAGACGACTAAAAACAGTATCATATACTGTTAATAAAAAGCTGATTTCATTTTGAAACTAAAATCCTTTCTCTCATGGTTTTCGTTTATCAAGCATGTAGCCATATCTTTATAGACATTGTGTATTTTGAAATGACCCACATATAAATATACCTGTGATTATCATCGTCAACTAAAAAGTCATTGCGAACTTTAGTTTCCAAAAATGATTAATAGTAAATGCTTTAGTATAACATTTATTTATCAATTTTTATTATGTTCTAATGTTGGTGCTAGCCCTCATGAAATGGGCAAACACAGTCTATAGGCAAGTTCAGTTGGTTGAGGCACATACTCTAGCTAAGATGCTGCGTATTAAGTAAAAGAGGTACACTTCCTCAGACCTTCTGCGTGTATGCCATGCCGGTGTTTAATCTGAAATTTGATTTATAGAATGTATAGAGATATTTTACGATCAACTGCACTTTTAGAAATCCACGTCGTTTCAATTTCTGATTATTTCTTGTTTAAATAATAATATAATGTATGATGTTATTCACATGTATAAGATTTTGTTCGCTTATGTATTACTGGTATATAATGAGGAAGACTGACTAACTTGAAAAAAAACGTGTGTCTCATTCTTTTGTCATTGTTTTGGGCAATGAAATATGTTTAAACCATCCAAAATAATATCAGCAGTCATTTAGTGATTTTTAGATTTTTAGTTATGGTATAAATCAAGCCGTTGTTTTTTCGCTTGAATTGTCACATTATATTCTTATTATAGCTGACTATACGGTATAGGGTTGCTCGTTGTTAAACACTGAACGGTTATGTGTAATTTATTAGATAAACTCTTTGAGCAACAACACTAGTGGAGCAGGATCAGCTTAACCCTCCGGAGCATATGAGATCACCCCAGTTTTTGATTGGGTTCGTGTTGCTGAGTCTTAGTTTTTCTTAGTGTTTTGTGGAATTGTTTATTGTTTCGTAGTCGTATTTTTTTTTACAATGGCGTTGTCACTTTCTCTTTGACCTATACGTTTTAAATGTCCCCTTGGTAACGAAAGCCTCTTTTTGGACACTGGTTGTTAGTTGTATCATTGACAATCACACCACATCTCCTTATTGTAACATAATGGTTGTTATGTGTTGAAAATTGCCCAAAGGTTGCACTGTGTAAATAAAGCTGTTTCACAAGCCAAGCCTCTTTTGGGGAGATATATACTAATCATAGATGTTTTGTTTTGTTTACGTACTAGTTCCCAAATATGATCTCCACGTTTTATCTCATAGAGACATAACTTGGGAATGTTACCAGTAAAATACACATGGATAGAGACCGAATTAAATTCTGAGGAAGACCCAAAGTGAAGAGAGGGGTAGAACAGAATTTTAGTATAAGTTTAAACTCTTAGAAGTTCGGGGCATATAGATGTTGAAAATATGCCGCACAGCCATTGACCATTGAAAAAAATAGTAGTGTATATGAATTTTCCATTCTAGAATATAATGTGTTACGAAACTTCATAGTAAAAGTGGCAGTTTTAGCCGTAATAGAAGTTCCTATGTGAATTGTCTATATTTACAGAAGTGCAACCTATAAGGGTTATGTATGTCTGGAGAAAAAAAATGGTTTCTGGATATTTCTTGTTAACGTTGAAATATTTCTTGTACTAAGAAATAAACAGCCTCTCCATAGATGAATGGTTGACCGGTCAATGCTACAAACAATCATTGTCGGTTGTGACAGGTTGTGTGTCTTTACCTTGAAGTAATTAGGAGTTTTTAAACCGGAAATACTAGTAACGGGACCATCAGTGGTGGAAAAACTTAAGAACGGAGTAACTATGTGTTGTGTTTCTGGTCTTTTGTGAATCGCTTACTTTAAGACGATACGTTATGGTAACTAAACGACCGGATACTGTATGCAATATCGACATAATAATTCAGACTTTAATATCTTAATCGAGTAACCCAAAGGTGACTGGGTATAGAAATATGGTCATCAGTGGTCTTCTTCCGACCAGCAGTCAAACCTTGCCAAAGTGGGGCATCAATTTGGTTGTGCGGGATGTACAAGTGTGCAGCCACGTCCGGTCAGAATAGGGACGTTAAATCCAATGCCTCATGTAGAAAGAACGTCATGCTTCTTGCACGTTAAGAACACTTGTAACAACTCTTTATGGAGTCCGTTTGTTGCAAGGCTAAATTTCTGTCCCTATCCAATATACCCTCATTTTCCATTGGCATTCCAAATTTCCCGCCCATCATCCAGGTCGACCTCTTATTGCAAGTCTTATTAGTATTGTAAATTAGTTATCGTCCTGCACATGTATGTAATATTAGCCACTGGACGTAAAGCAAATTAACCAATTAATCAATCAGATTCGAGTTGTGTTGAGTTTGTTAACTTGCTTCAGTATTCATCTTACATAATTCAATAGAAGAACTGCATCAAACAACCAGCATCAGTAGAACTTTCAGATGTGTTCTTTATATTTCTTGTCAGATTTTTCATGTTTGTTACAATGTCGAAGAAAGTAGTTTATAGTTTTAACCAAAGAAAGCCAACACAAATTAATAAAACAGTTTTAATAGAAATCCATTCCTAGTATATTTCTAAGTAATGTTTTACAATAAATTATAATAATACCAATAACATTTATAAATCGTTTGATTGTATGACACAACGTAAAATCACGTGATCACATGTAGTACTATTATCTAATCCAGTATTAGGGAACTTAATTGGAGGCATGTTGAAATAAAGAGGACACAAACATGTAAATAGAAAAAAACTTTTCTATGATAATTGATTCGTACGGAAACTAACATTCTGTCTCCTTGTTGTTAGACTATTATTCCATCTGAAATTAAAAGAAAAAAGTTTGAATATGATTAACACAGTTTGTTGTTTATTAGTACTTTTTAATTTTTTATTACCGGAAAAATGTCCTTTTAGCATGTATTTCAAGAAAATTTCAACAATAAATGTGTATATGAAAATAAGATGTTTTATAATTGCCAGTGAGACAACTCTCCACCAGAGACCAAATGACATAAAAGTTAACATTTATAGTTCACTGTACGACCTTCAACGATGAGCAAAATTAATACCGCATAGTCAGCTATAAAAGGCCCCGAAATGACAAATGAAAAACTATTCAAACACGAAAACTAACGGCTTGATTTATGTAAACACCAATGACCGAAATACATACATAATATACATCAACAAACGACATCCACTGATTTACATGCTTCTGACTTGGGACAGGCACATACATACATAATATACAGTAACAAACGACAACCACTGATTTACAGGCTCCCGACTTGGGACAGGCATATACATACATAATATACAGCAACAAACGACAACCATTGATTTACAGGCTCCTGACTTGAGACAGACATATACATACATAATATACAGTAACAAACGACAACCACTGGTTTACAGGCTCCTTTACTTGGGACAGACATATACATACATAATATACAGTAACAAACGACAACCACTGGTTTACAGGCTCCTGACTTGGGACAGACACATACATACATAATATACAGCAACAAACGACAACCACTGATTTACAGGCTCCTGACTTGGGACAGGCACATACATACATAATATACAGCAACAAACGACAACCACTGATTTACAGGCTCCTGACTTGGGACAGACATATACATACATAATATACAGTAACAAATGACAACCACTGGTTTACAGGCTCCTGACTTGGGACAGACACATACATACATAATATACAGCAACAAACGACAACCACTGATGTACAGGCTCCTGACTTGGGACAGGCACATACATACATAATATACAGCAACAAACGACCACTGATTTACAGGCTCCTGACTTGGGACAGACACATACATACATAATATACAACAACAAACGACAACCACTGATTTACAGGCTCCTGACTTGGGACAGACACATACATACATAATATACAGCAACAAACGACAACCACTAATTTACAGGCTCCTGACTTGGGACAGACACATACATACATAATATACAGCAACAAACGACAACCACTGATTTACAGGCTCCTGACTTGAGACAGACACATACATACATAATATACAGCAACAAACGACAACCACTGACCTACAGGCTCCTGACTTGGGACAGACACATACATACATAATATACAGCAAAAAACGACAACCACTGACTTACAGGCTCCTGACTTGAGACAGACACATACATACATAATATACAGCAACAAACGACAACCACTGATTTACAGGCTCCTGACTTGGGACAGACACATACATACATAATATACAGCAACAAACGACAACCTATGATTTACAGGCTCCTGACTTGGGACAGACACATACATACATAATATACAGCAACAAACGACAACCACTGATTTACAGGCTCCTGACTTGGGACAGACAGACACATACATACATAATATACAGCAACAAACGACAACCACTGATTTACAGGCTCCTGACTTGGGACAGACACATACATACATAATATACAGCAACAAACGACAACCACTGATTTACAGGCTCCAGACTTGGGACAGACATATACATACATAATATACAGCAACAAACGACAACCACTGATTTACAGGCTCCTGACTTGGGACAGGCATATACATACATAATATACAGCAACAAACGACAACCACTGATTTACAGGCTCCTGACTTGGGACAGGCATATACATACATAATATACAGCAACAAACGACAACCACTGATTTACAGGCTCCTGACTTGGGACAGACACATACATACATAATATACAGCAACAAACGACAACCACTGATTTACAGGCTCCTGACTTGGGACAGGCATATACATACTTAATATACAGCAACAAACGACAACCACTGATTTACAGGCTCCTGACATGGGACAGACACATACATACATAATATACAGCAACAAACGACAACCACTGATTTACAGGCTCCTGACTTGGGACAGGCATATACATACATAATATACAGCAACAAACGACAACCACTGATTTACAGGCTCCAGACTTGGGACAGGAATATACATACATAATATACAGCAACAAACGACAACCACTGATTTACAGGCTCCTGACTTGGGACAGACACATACATATATAATATACAGCAACAAACGAAAACCACTGATTTACAGGCTCCTGACTTGGGACAGGCACATGCATACATAATATACAGCAACAAACGACAACCACTGATTGACAGGCTCCTGACTTGGGACAGGCACATACATAATATACACCAACAAACGACAACCACTAACTTACAGGCTCCTGACTTGGGACAGGCATATACATACATAATATACAGCAACAAACGACAACCACAGATTTACAGGCTCCTGACTTGGGACAGGCACATACATACATAATATACAATAACACACGACATCCACTGACTTACAGGCTCCTGACTTGGGACAGGCATATACATACATGTCATTCAAATGAACATTTTTATTAGTAAATTGCATTCCTGCATCCAAATTTGCTGAATTGATTGGAAATCTAGACATAATGTGTTCTGCTTTTTTACAACATAAGATGGCGGAAGACTCCCATACCACCTTTAACTTAAAAGTGGTCATGAGTCAAAATCGTATTGCAGGCATGTCATCAAAGTAACTGATTCAAAATCGTATTGCAGGTATGTCATTAAAGTAACTGACTCAAAATCGTATTGCAGGTATGTCATCAAAGTAACTGACTCAAAATCGTATTGCAGGTATGTCATCAAAGTAACTGACTCAAAATCGTATTGCAGATATGTCATCAAAGTAACTGACTCAAAATCGTATTGTAGGTATGTCATCAAAGTAACTGACTCAGAATCGTATTGCAGGTATGTCATCAAAGTAACTGACCCATTCACAAATTGTGTTGAAAAAAAAATCTCAAAGTTGGTATCCTCTATAACGTTATACTGCGGTCCCGTGAGGTTTACCAGCTCATACACATGTAATCCCTTTCATGTATGTTTCGTTGTAGTGTTTTACAATATTGTATGCACGTAGTAGTAGTTTATGATGACATTGTCAAAGATTAAACTTTTTTGAAATACTTAGGATTTTCTATCACAGGAATAGATTATATAAGCTGTATTGGCAAACCTGTCGGAATTTAGGGTTCTAAATGTTCTTCAACTTCGAACTTTAAATTGTCATTATTTTACTTTTTTTTATTCGAGCGTCACTGGTGAGTCTTTTGTAGACGAAACGCGCGTCTGGCGTACAAAATCTTAATCCTGCTATCTATGCCGAGTTTATGTGTAGTTTTCTTTACGGAATAGGTTTTATTGAAAGTGTGTTGAGACTGTGCATTGTACGATATTTGTTTACATACTCGTCCTTTTGTCTCTGGTGGATAGTGGCATAATTGGCCATCATACTTACAATCCGTATTTTGACCAAAACTTTGTTCTCTGATAAATAAATTTTATTAGACATGCTTTTATCAAATAGTTTACAAAACCCTTTGAAATCGAGAATTCAAATCGTACTAAATATCACAGTTTTATCGTCCTTGCGACTTAATATATTATATTGCCATATACATATGATTTGCTTGCAGTGCAAAGTGAGAGTTGAAAGATACCAAAGGGACATTCCAACTCATAAGTCGAAGAAAATAAACTGACAACGCCATAGCTAAAAAACTATCTGTTAGCTAACAGAGTCAGATATGGTATTGACAACTAGTATTTTCATATCGGACAATTCTTATCCATGTATTAATTTAAAGTGCAATTTAGAATTTTAATGTAAAATATAAATATAAACACAACGGTATCTCGATCTGAAATTCGCGGAGGGATCCGAATCCCGAGGAAAAGTTATTGCAATGTTTGTAACGGTGAGTTTCCAGATTTTACCCCCCGTTGCAAACTTTTCATTTATTACTCCTCGGGTATCCCTCCGCGGTTTCGGATCGGGATACTAGGTGTGATGAATATTTGTACCTGTAACACATTTCTTGCATGAGAACACCAGTCCTCCAATACATAATATGGCACCAATTCCACAAAGAACAGCGGTAGCTACGATAGCCCCTATAGCCATACTGAAATGTTTACGTTAATATAAATCAAATATAATGTATTTAAATTCTGTTAGAAAACATGTACATGTACATGCGGCAACCGTTATGTCAATAACGAAAGAGATAATATTGCTTTTTGCGGTCTATGTCATTTTTTTTTTTTAAATAAATACATTTAAACCGCAATTTTTACCTACGGTAATTTATCAATAATATATACTGACGGACTTCGGAAACACAACACCATTTTATTAGTTTTAAATTCTAACAAAAGTGATAACATAAATTTTAATTTGTCATTTACGCCCGACCTACGTCTACCTGCTGAATAGATAAAAAGCGACAATCAGCATGATATTCTTACCGTGTGATTTCTGCTAGCTTTTAAATAATATGTACACCTGGTTTTCTTTTTTAAAACATGCTTTGCATTAATGGCATTGGTTTAATCAATTAAACGTTTTATCTATATTTCGCAATGCCGCGACACGGTGATGAAAAACACAATCAAGCCTCCAGATTGTCCAGACAAGGACGAGTGCCCACACCGTATGATTGACTCATTTATTTTGCTATGTAAATGAAATGAACGTGCTTGATTAGCCCTATATACCGTCAGACACATATCAATTGAAAACATGTGGGGTCAGTTGAGTCCGTTCTCGCCCAAATCCCCTGATGAATTTGGAAAGACAGCAAACCATACACGCAATGTGTAGACCATTACTTAAATACGGATAATTGCGTCTGCTCATTGGTTTTGGGACTATGTAAGCGTGTGTAGATGTTTACATGTAGCTGTCTAATTTGATGTGCACAATGTAACCTTAAATTAATTTATATTGCGTAACTATATGAGTTTCTGAACAACAGTAATTAGCTGTAAATACCTATAATAAATGCATTGATGGTTCATATTTTTATTCAGTATACAGGTTTTATGGTGTGTTATGTTACGAAGCATGCTCTAGATAGGGGGATTCCGAACGTGGAACTGGTTCAATACGGTATGTGTTTTTTCTCAATGTTGAAGGATGTACAGTTGCCTAGTTTAATTGAACACATCTTCTTAATTTGAACCTTAATGGATAGTTGTCTCATTGGCAATCGTACCACATCTCCCTGTTTTTAAATTAACCCACCCAGTTACATGCCGGCATTTTGGTAAACCTTCTGTCCGTTATATATCCTTTTATTGTACTAACCTTGTTGGTTCGTTCGACGCTGCAGCATTGTCATTTTGTATAGATCCTAGAACAGTAAAAAATACAAGATATAGATAATCTCATCTGTATTTGACAAACCTTTTGGAATTGTGGATCCTCAATGCTCTTCAACTTCGTACTTTATTTTGCCTTTTTAACTTTTTGATTCGAGCGTCGCTGATGAGTCTTGTGTAAACGAAACTCGCATCTGGCGTATATAATTTTAATCCTGGTATCTATGATGAGTGTTTTCAAAATAGTTTAACGTTAAGCTTGATACTATTACGTTTTCACTCAGCTTTGTTCAAATGATTTGCAGTAAGTAGTTAAGCAAACTAGTACTTTATTTTCCGTGGATATATTATATGTCCTGTATGGGGGTTATCTTGGGCTGTCACAGTAGTGTAACAGCACAACATAAAAACAAACTGGAAAGGGCCTGAGTCAACTGATCGGTACTAAACACAAATACAACTTATAGAAAAATAGATGATAGATCAAAATTCCTTACTAGGGGATGCACACTATTGGTGTTATGGGGGGAGTTTTCTACATGTTTGAAAATTGACATTGTGCAATTTGTTGTTGTCTTATATTGCATCAGCTATTGTCCTCTGGACGTTTAGCAAAACACTAACGCAAGCCTATTTTGGACGCACGATTTTGGGTTTCTAATGATGAATATATGTCAAAATTCTACAAATGTTGAAATTAATATATTATATTCTGGAGGCAAAAGGTACGATAAACTCCTACAAATATTATCCTATCAAGGAGTCATGGGATTTATTTTCTAACCAATCATAAATAAGCGGTGACTGAATAAACATATTACTACATACCTTGTGCGCGTACCTGACATAAAATAACTGCGCACAAAACAAAAACAATCAACGTCAGCTTCATCATACTGTTGCTTTACGTAAAATCCATCACCCTAAAAATATATAACCTGATACAGTGACTACATATGATAACGACAAAAGGGTAGTGTTTGTATACCTTCTGTTTTGTATTGAAAACCAATTATTATATCTACAAAATGTTCAAATGTTAGTAGTACCTAAATTTATGTATTAAGATATTAAGAAATAATCATGAATATTGACGTTGACATTGATAATCATTTTTTAAAGGGACGACCATTTGATATATTTTCAATTAATTTATTGTTCAAAATTACTTTTAAATACCTTATTACAATGTGATATATTTTATGTAAAAAGGTAGCTACATTGTTTGAAAAAACAATATGTATCGGTTGACAAACATGACATTACACGTTCACGATTTTATTTTAAATAAATAATTGATACGGACAAGGTTAAATAGGAATATAATCTGACAATCATTCATATGCTTTCCAGTCCCCTTCAATGTTTTACACAAGGAGATGATGCTAAAGCATGTAATGTTGTTAGTTTACACAAGGAGATGATGCTAAAGCATGTAATGTTGTTAGTTTACACATGGAGATGATGCTAAAGCATGTAATGTTGTTAGTTTACACAAGGAGATGATGCTAAAGCATGTAATGTTGTTAGTTTACACAAGGAGATGATGCTAAAGCGTGTAATGTTGTTAGTTTACACATGGAGATG